CGGGATTAATTAGTTCATTCGTTAATTAGTCGGACTTCTGTGATTAAACATGTGTTATCATATGGTGCATACTTCATAGAGGTTCGTATTTTTTTATTATTTAAAAAAATGGAAATAGAATCGATGTTGAATACTTTTTATTACTTTGGCATAGATCTATTCTAGACTCTAGATCTCAAAACTTTGTTGACATTTCCAACAGATGAAATTTTATTTAATCAATTAAAATAATTAAAATAAATAATCAATAACACAAATGAGCGTTAAGTAGACTAGGACATTTATTAATAAGCCAGAGATTTAAATACAAGACATAATGAATGATGTGCTTTCTATTAGGGAAGTTTAGTTTGATTATAATTATAGTAATTAATTTAATTAGTTTACTATTATTAATTTTAACTAGGCTTATAAATATATTCTACATTAAAACTTGCGAATCTAATTAATAAAATTACGTTTGTAATTTCTTTATCGCATAAAAAATAATACACAGACTATTATTTAGAATACAGAAAGATAGATGAATTTATTTTATTATAAAGTCTACACGCATTTGAAACCACTGATGAACCAAAGTAATTTCTGTATTTTAAATTGTCTTAGAAAGTGCTCTAAAGTTTCATGGCTTCTATAGATTTAAATCTAGGCCTGTTGTTCATTTTTAGAAGTTCATTTCCGCTCACTGTTCACACCATCAAATGAGAACTGTTCACGTTGATGTGTTCACGTGTTCACGTTTAAATCGTGTTTTCAGCTTCCCTGGTTGTCACTCCTGAGCCCCCCTCCCCCCATCCCCCCCCCCCCCCCCCCATCCCCCCCCCCCCCCCCCCCCATCCTTTACACCGACTTTTAGTTTGAGACGGTTGTGTAATCCCCTTGCCCGTAATGTGGTCATTACGTCTAGTGTAAGGCTTCAGTGCCTGTTTTCACACAAACCTCTCGCGTTCGCTCACTCGCACGTAATAGTGTGCCGCTCTGGGGATTGGGAGCGATTGTAGGACCTCTGTAGGACTTCTCTAGGACCTCTGTAGGACCTCTAAGACCTCCACTGGGCTGTTTGTTTTAATCTAGTGCGATCAAACATAACCTTGGCTTAAACCAGAACGCTAAATGACAACATTGGCTTAGCCCATTAATCCGTAATTACGTTGTTTAATCAACTTGTTAAGAAGGTTTAAGCTTATATTAAGCATGTTGCCAATACATTTTTAATCAGTTATTATTTTTTTTTTATACTGCACGGCAATATCCTAAAATTAAAATAAGAATGGTGCAGTTCTTTCTATCATATCACGTTTTATGTTATAAATCTTTAAATCCATAAAACAAAGCTTGCCCTAACTTAACTACCGAAACATCTGTTTAAAAAATCAATAACCAGCAACACTAATTGGATTAACATTCGTCTTTATTGTTTAGTATTGTAGCATTTGTTTATACCGTCATAACTGTTTAGGTTGTGGTAGAGATTACACTCACACACTAAACTTACTTCAATAACAAACAACAGAGAAGCAACATGTTGGTAACTTTAGTTTTAATGACGGCGTCTAGTTGCGTGGTTGCTGTTTTAACTTTTCGAGTACACAATCACTTAACATTCAAACAAACAAATAAACAAACACAGAATTTATATGGACAGATCTCGATGTTTAGCCGGACCCTTATATCCGCAAAGCCGATGTCGCCAATATCTAACTCTAACGGTTTGTGTGGTTGGTGTATCCACAATGATGACACCGATGTGGCAATGTTCCCTCTAAGCTGTGCGGCCGCGCACAAGTATTGAACCTGCCGCGCGGTCATTTTGTAAAAACAAAAACAGATCTGTCCTTGTTCCAGACTTTAAGAACACCGTGCACACAAAATACCCGTTGCACACTAGCCTTTTCCCCCAAATACAGAATGTGGTTGTGTGGTTGTGTGGCAGTTAGACTCGTGCTGTTTACCACAGTGCTTTTCCTTGAGATAACGTGAACACATAGACATAAAAGCAACGATCACTAGAATCTATCGGCTGTTTAATCCTGTCGTCTGCTGCGTCGTCTGGCCCTATGGGGTTTTGTTTGTTTTCCATGAATTATGTCCAAGTCAGAGCCGGCGTCTAAAGGGGGTGGGTGGGGTGGGGTATGTCGGCCTCATTTCTCGGACGTTGCCTCTACATCTCACACTAATGTACGTGGGGGGTGTGAGTGTGTGTGTGTGTGTGGAGGGGGGGGGGGGGTTCTTTCGGCCCAATTGCTCGGACGTTGCCTCTACATCTAACTCACACTAATGCACGTGTGGGGTGTGTGTGTAGGGGGGAGGGTCGTCTGACACTCCCGTACTGACGTCAACCCAGTGGTTGGCGCTAAACTTTCCACACTGGCTTTTGGTACATGTTTATCTTAGCGATGGCTTTTTTAGACATCAATTCCTGCCAAGTTTATGTCATTATCGCCAGTCTGTCCATGACGCTAGCCTACACCCTAACAGCTATATCGGCAGACGTAAAAAAAATATAATCTGGATTCGTTTCTGTTATCCAGTCGACCTATTATATGTAACAAAAAGAAGCTGGATTATGTCCATCTTGTATAACACACGGATTAGATGACTGGATATCATTCTGTTATATTATATAGGAGTAGAGTGTGGTATACAGTGTTGTAATGTTGTATAACACATTTGATCCCCTATATCCGTGTGTTCACTAAACATTTTGCCGTGTAGAGGTTCGACAAATCAGTGGACTAAACTAGCTTGCGTTGCTTCAATACAAAAATAAATCTTAGTTGTTTGAAATGAAATATGTGATTTAGTTGTGTACACGATCCTTAACCAGACCACAAACTTAACCCAGAAGTTATGCGTTTAATTAACCGAATGTTTTTATACAGTAGTGTGATCATAAATTATATTTTTCACACGGCAATGCAATCATAAATCACATTTTTCACAAAGTAATGCTGTCGTAAATCATATTTTTCACATAACACTGAAATCATAAACCACATTTTTCACACAATAACGTAAACTAAAAAATTATGTAACACATATTTCTGCACGTACGTTTTTGTTTACAGGTATATGTATATGTGTGTACATGTACGTCTAAGTGTACATGCACTGCCTGGGTGTACATTATATAATACACCTACCCAACATGCAATCTTTCTCTACTCACGTCATCCATAATGTCTGCCTTTTTGTGTACTCATCCTTGACATTGCGCCCCCTGCATTTAGCGAGGGCGAGTTTTCTATCAGCACAAAAAACAAACTTTCAAATTACATTAACTTGAAATCATGGCTTCGCTTTTAGACCAGCCGCTCTGAAATAGCCGCAGAAATGTCTCATTAATGTAACCATTGATGCTAAAGATACCTTCCCTAGTTTTGCATTACATCTAATAGTTCATTTACTTTTATTGTTCTTCTTTTAAATACTTCCTTTTCTTTCCACCCCCCCCCCCTTAAACTTCCGCTTCGTATGACGTCACATGTATTTACAATGGCTTTAAAGTGCTTTGTGTGTTTGCTTCTTTAATTTGTAAATAAACCCGGTAATTGCCGGCGTTAATCACATCTAACCACCCCAGCGGGCAAATTAATTAACGTTGATTGTGTAAGCAGCCTCGCATCGTGAAGGGGAAATCACTGTCTTATTTCTACAAGGGCCAGAAGTGAAACACGCTTACCGTCCTTTGTCGTCCATGCGGACTTGCCACGCATGGGTAAACTGGTGAATGTATCAATAATTTAAACCTAGCCACTGGGGGTAGCCTCGCTAACTTCTCTCCCCTAAAGCCTAGAACTAATTTCTTATTGATAAACCTCAGACCACTATCTCAAGATTACATTCTTCATGACTCATATTTATTCTGGTTTTTTTATCTCATGCTGTGAAATTGCTTGAGAAATTTATAACATGGATTATAGTTGCATAACTTAAATAGGTAACTCTAAAGCCTTGGTTCCGATATTATCCCTGAGTCTACTCAGCTGTAATTGGTACCTGATTCGAGTAAGGTTCGTGTTGACACCACATGGATTACTTTCACAGGTAGAAATTGACGAACTCTACCTCATCTGCCATAATATATATATATATATATATATATATATATATATATATATATATATATATATAATATCTAAAAACGTACCTTCAATTAAAATAACGAAAACATGAGTTTTAGGCCACACAGATTACTTAATTAAAAAATCAAATTAGTTATTGATTATTTTTAAAACGCGAGAGGGAAAATGTCAATGTAAAGTAAGTTTTTTTAATGTATCTTCAAAGCAAAGTTTACAACATTAGAACTGGATCAGGACGAATATGACATTAGTGTATGTAATTAGCCTTGTAAAGGGGTCTTTTAATATCGCAGAAATGGGTCTTTTAATATCACAAAAAGGGGTCTTGTAATATTATAAAAAAGGGTTTTGTAACGACATAAAAAGTGATCTTATTTAAAAGGGGTCTTGAAATGACAAAAAAAGAGATCTGGCAATATTTAAAAAGGTGTGTTTTTTTTTAATGTCATAAAAAGGTTCTTGTCAAGTCGTAAAAATGGAACGGCGTGGTTAAATATTAGAGCGTTTGACTACTAGCCCGAAAGTCTCGAGTTCGGATCTCGGTCCGGAATCTGACGTGTAGGACGTCCCTGACTCTCGTTTGGAGGCAGCTGGGCAAAGTACTGACCACACTATCCCTTCAGATGAACTCTACTTCATCTGTCCTGATTAAAGGGAACTTTACTTTTAATGTTATAAAAAGTGGTCTTGTAATATATAACAGGGGTCTTGTAATGTATAACATGGTTTTAAGAAAAATGTATAACAGGGTCTTAATAAAAATGCATAAACAGCAATTAAAAACTAAACATCTTGTTCACCAATTGAATCGATCAATAAATTTCGCTCTAATTACAACACTGTTGCTAATTAGTAGCATTAAATTAATTAACCAGACTCATTGTTTTTCCTCACGTCTAGATGACCCATCTGGACTCCGCTCACGTCTGAATGCATGTAACCACGTCATCACACACGTGACCTTCACCCTTTGACCAACACACTACACGGTCCGTGACCATGACCCACCGGACCACGCCCACGCTGCGTCAGACCATGTCGGCGACCTTCACCTACCTCCTGGCCGGCGTCGTGCTGACGTCAATCTCCATGACGCGCGGGCAACAGCAGGACTTGACCTACAAGATCCGCGAAGAACAGGATGTGGGCACGTTCGTGGGCAACATCGCCCGCGACAGCCAGATCTACATCCAGTACAACCAAACCGAGTTCCAGAGCTTGCAATACAGCATCCCCTCCACCAGTTCAAAGTTCACCATCGACAGCAAATCCTCGACGGTCCGCACAGCTGTGGTGCTGGACCGTGAAACTGAATGCGACAGCCCGTCGTACTTAACCGAGCTGTGTCAACTCAACTTTGGCGTCAGCGTCTACCGCGTCAGCAGGGATGGGAGCTTCACTCTGCTGCGCATCATAAGAGTCAGCGTCGTGCTGGAGGACATCAACGACAACGCCCCGCAGTTCCCGTCTAATCAAACGACGCTGGACGCCCCGGAGTCGCTGGACATCGGTCAAGTACTCACCACCAGCGGGGCTATAGACCGAGACTCTAGCGTCAACAACACGGTCCAGAAGTACACGCTGGAAGGGGGCGACGGGGTGTTTGAGCTCCAGCAGATTCCCATACCCGGCTCCATGAACTCTGACCTCGGGATTGTTCTAAAACAGAAACTAGATCGCGAGACCATACCTTCATACAGGCTGAAGATCATTGCCGAAGATGGGGGATTCCCCAAGCTGTCCGGAACCGTCAGGATACTCATCAGAGTGATTGACGTCAACGACAACACGCCCACCTTCTCGCAGAACTTGTACAACGCCTCGGTGCCAGAAGATAGACCCGAGAGGTCAACGATTCTCAAAATTGAAGCCCAAGACCCGGACGAAGGTGAAAACGGCCGGATGACCTTCACATTCAGCCCCCTGACCTCCAGCAGAATCACCGAATATTTCGCCATCAACGAAGCCAACGGAGACATTTTTCTCGTCCGGCGCCTGGATTACGAGCGCGACAAACTGTTCCGGTTCTCCATGACCGTCAGCGACAACGGTTCCCCTCCCCGCTCCTCCCAGACCACCATCCAAATTTTCGTTGAAGACGTGAACGACAACGCGCCCCAGATTGAGATCACCCTCCCCACCGCCTACGTCAAGGAGTCCATCAACGTCGGCAACTACATCGCTCACGTCTCGCTCTCAGACCGCGACAGCAGCGAGAACTCGGTCATCACGTGCGCCGTACAGAACGATCATTTCATGCTGCAAAAGTTCCCAGAATCAGACTCCATCTACACGGTCATCTTGAAGAGCCATCTCGACTACGAGAAATCCCAGACCGAGTTTGTCAACATCACGTGTCACGACGGTGGTCAGCCTCCCCTCTACAACTCCTCGGGTTTTATGATCTACGTCCAGGATGTCAACGACAACGCCCCTGTGTTCACTCGCGGGACGTACAGGGCCGAGGTGGAGGAGGAGAACTACGTGGGTCAGTTCGTGACCCAAGTCCAAGCCGTCGACCCGGACGAAGGCGATAACGGAAACGTCTCGTACGGTCTGTTGGTCAACCCGGACAGCAAGTTCCAGATCAACCCGCTGTCCGGAGTCATTAAAGCTGTCATGACGTTAGACAGAGAAGAGACGCCGACGTATGAACTTGTGGTGGTGGCCAAAGACCGCGGCATCCCTCCCATCTCGTCTTCCGTCACCGTCACGGTAGTGCTCACAGACATCAACGACAACCCGCCCAGGTTCACCAAATCCATTTTCGACTTCCGGATTCAAGAAAACCTCCCCAAGAACACCATCGTCGACACGGTCTCCGCCAGCGACCCCGACACCGGCTCCGACAACCACATCCGCTTCCAGTTCACCATCAACTTTTCATACCGGGACACGTTCGCCATCGATCGCCTCACCGGCAACATCATCACCCTGAAATCACTGGACCGCGAAGAACGCGATTTCTACGCCTTTGACGTCATGGTCCTGGACGAGAGCCAGCCCACCTACAACGACGTGGCTAAAGTTTACATCACCGTCACCGACGACAACGACAACAAACCCGTCATCACCTACCCCGACGACTACAACAACACCTTCTACTTCGTGTACACCTACCCTGCCGGCACCGTCCTCGTCAACTTCCAATGTGAAGACCGAGACGCCGGCGAGAACGCCTCGGTTAGGTTCTCCATCATCAGAGGCAACGAGAAGAGCCTCTTTTTCCTCAATGCCCTCAACGGAGAACTCGTCCTCGCCAAACAGCTCAACATCTACGACGCCGGCAGCTACAGGCTCAGCGTCCTCGCTCGCGACAACGGCCTCAGCTACCTGGAATCCAAACGCGACATCAACATCATCATCACCATCGCCAACGGCACCTCCAGCTTCCTCCAAGACGACGTCACCGGCGCAAACATCGCCATCGTCATCGCTCTAGTCTGCATCACCGTCGTACTCGCTATGGCCGTCCTCATCACCATCTGCATCATCCGCCGCATCGACCGCGAGCGGAAGCAGCACAGCAGCGTCAAGGTGGACGACGACAACCTGTACAAACAGCAGACGATGCCGGACAACCTGATGCACACGCCCGGCAAGGACGGCTTCGAGAGTGAGATTGAAAAACTGAAGCGGAAAATTAAACGAGACATGAGCTTTGGCGTGGAAGATGATTCCAACACACTCGACGCCGCCGAGATCTCCAACAAATCTTCCACATTTTCAACCTTCAAAAACACATCAACCGCAGTGGAGCAGAAGAACACATCTGTAAGTAAATCTTGTCTTTGTTACCTTAGGTCATATATTTAACGAGAAACTTCTTTTTTTATGAAACTCCCAAAATTGAATTTACACTCTGTTAAATACTCGTTGTAAATATGTTTTGAAAAGTATGGTAAACAGATGAATACGTTTACCAATAAAGTGCGATGCGCTTATCATAATGCCGGCCTGTCCTTTTTAAACAAATTTAAAACTTAACTCATTTCGTCTAAACCACAGCTTCTTGTAGGTCCGTATGGCTTGTAAACCAGGCGAATCTGGTAGCCTACATTTGTTTTAAAGCTTGTCCAATATAAAGTTTATAAACAACCCTCGAGTTTCAATGAGCCTTAAATAAAAATTCAAGTAAGAACAAATAAGCACTGAATTAAACCGAAATAGACGTAAGCTAAATTTAGCACTGTCTGAATGCGACATCGGCTACCAGTACTGACTAAAAGAGACAGTGACTATCACCTAGGAAACCATAAAAAGGTCGCCTAGGGCAGAATGGAGAGCACCGAAAGGTAGATAATCCCCTGACTAGAACTCCCCAGCAAGAGAAGACAACCGTCTCACTCACATATCTCTACATATCGATCTTGACTCGGGGTAATCAAAGGTCCCTGGCCTTATCTCCCCGCCCCACCCCACGTGATAATATCCACCACCCTAGCTCACAGCAGAAGTCAAAGGGCTGCTACGTTAATAAAATCAACTTAATCCGAACTTAATCCAAACTTAATCCATTCGTTTAAAAGATCAAAGATCATTTTACTAGCCCCGAAACTTGTCTTGTTTTAAAAAAACAAATTTTGTTACAATATTTAAAAAATTAAAAAATGTTCCTTTTTAAATAGAAATTCCGGCTTTAACCTTTAAAATTTCTCCAGTACAACCTAAAGATAATACCTCGTTAAAACTACGGAAAGATGAAAGCGATACTTCGCCGGAAGAAAGAAAAAAAAAATCGAATATTAATAATCCTTGTTCTACTCCTCTTCTTCAACCCCCCCCCCTTCTCTTTAAACCCCTACCCACTCCACTTCACATAACCACCCCCTACCCACAGACACCCCGCCCCGTTGATTCTCTTTTCAATGTCAAACATTTGTAAGTCGACACTTTCAAAAAAAAAAAGTCACCGAAAAAAAGTCGGCCGGCCATTAACGGCAAGGAGCGACCGTCTGGTACTAGTGCCAGTGGACGGCACAAATGAACCCTCGCGAGTAGCAATACATCTCCCTCTCGTTAGTAGCCCGGGAGGTAATGATCTCATATCGATCTTGACCCTCATTCACACCCCCACTTCTCCCCCACCCCCCACCCCTGTCCTACCCATATAATTTGCGACATCTTTGAAGAGTGTGAGTACTGCATACAATGATGGCGGCTCATCCCGGGCGTGAGAAACGCGAGGGTGTGGACATGATGGTGATGGTGAGGTGGGGGAGGGGGTGGGGGGAGTATGACGTACAACATACCCGCCTGGTCATTACGGGAGTGGTAATTTTTTGATCCCCCCTACACGGGCGTGGGTAAATATTCACCGGGGCGTTGTCTGATCAAGGCTCCCATCTAATTATTGCTTGACCATCGGGTAGTTCTAGAATCTTCGGCGGTTACTGTAACAAGTCTACATTTCTAGAATGTTCATCACCAACAATCTTCTTAAAATACAAATATTCCCTCATGAAAATTCTAGAATAAAATGTTACATGTATGTTTTCTTTTTTTTAATGCATCAGTATGGGTGGGGCGGGCTTGTAGTACCCCGGGGGCTTGAATCCAGCGTGGACCCAAAGGCACAACTAAATTAATTAACACGAATTAAATAAAAATTCAACCAAAGAAATCAATCGAGACATGTAGGGGTCTGTTTATTTAGACCCCCCCCCAACCCCACTTTCTTTGTGCCCTGGGGTAATTTAACCCCTCCCTCCTCGTCGCGTTGTTTATTTTATTTCCTAATTTTAATAATTCAAACCCAGCTTATTTTAAAATGACGTCACCTCAGCTCATCATGATAAAATGACGTCACATCCGTTCATCTCGATGATAGCGCCATGAACGCCGATCTTTGATTACAACAGTTCCACCTTAAGTCCTTGTTTCCTGTTTTAACTGCCCCATTTTCATTGGCCCGTTACGCAAACATAAAAAAATATATTGCCGTGTTGCTATGTGACGCCAAGTCCAGCAACTAATTTATTCATACAAAAAAATGCAGTTTAGGAAATACGGAAATAAAACCTTACCCTGGGAAGCCGTATAAAAACGGTGCCGTTCGCTTTTTCAATGCCGAAATGCATTGCTGTCTTGATTCGGGACTTAGTCTCTTATAAAACCGGCAGCGGCATTTTAAAATCCGGCTATAAAAACCGGCCGAGGCTTCCATTTTCTGAGTTTTGGGAAATCCCGAAAAAATAAAAAATCGCTCGTATTATTTTATTATCAAACAGCAAATAAAAACATTGTCGTGCACCATTTCAACCATCCGCATCCAATTTTCTTTGTCCCACGATTCATCCCCCCCCCCCTAATCCCCCAACCCCACATCTCGTAACTGTAAGTCTTCCTGGATGAGCGAGCATTAGAACTAGAAATAGTTCCAATATCAACACTTCGTTTCTTTAGCTCCACGAATAAAAATAAAAAAACCTCCCCACACCCCAATTGCATATGGATTAATTGTAATTTGTCAGGACCTCGGCCACTGGACCCCTTAGATAACCCGACCAGCCACGTTTATAGACGCCTCCATCAACGTCTCCTCCTCCCCCCCCTCCCCCCCCCCCCCCATCACACCCCCACCCCCTCTATCATTGGTACCTCCGTTATTCCGTCCACTTCCAAGCCCACCCATCAATAAAAAGAATTTACGCCCGAACTTGAAATATCGAAATTTAAATTCTATTTCTGGGTATAAGATGAAAATGTCTGAATAGGAAATAGCTGTGTATGCTTGAAGCTGTCATTGAATGCTGAAACGTGCATGGATAGAAAAAATTGATTTGACAGGTTTGTTTTTTAAAAGAATTTTAAAATTTCGCTGTCGAATTCTAGATTTCCAAGTGCGTAAGTATATCTAGAGTAGTTTGTATCATCTGTTGTATTTGTATCATGATACAAAAACATCTGTTTTCAAAATGTACACTATCACTGGACATTGAAACACCATCATTGGACACTGAAACACCATCACTGGGCATTGAAACACCATCATTGGGCATTGAAACACCATCAATGGACATTGAAACACCATCACTGGGCATTGAAACACCATCACAACACCATCACTGGGCATTGTAACACCATCACTGGGCATTGAAACACCATCACTGGGCATTGAAACACCATCACTGGGCATTGTAACACCATCACTGGACATTGAAACACCATCATTGGACATTGAAACACCATCACTGGGCATTGAAACACCATCACTAGACATTGAAACACCATCACTGGGCATTGAAACACCATCACTGGACATTGAAACACCATCACAACACCATCACTGGACATTGAAACACCATCACAACACCATCACTGGACATTGAAACACCATCACTGGACATTGAAACACCATCACTGGACATTGAAACACCATCACAACACCATCACTGGGCATTGAAACACCATCACTGGACATTGAAACACCATCACAACACCATCACTGGACATTGAAACACCATCATTGGACATTGAAACACCATCACTGGTCATTGAAACACCTTCATTGGACATTGAAACACCATCATTGGACATTGAAACACCATCACTGGACATTGAAACACCATCACAACACCATCACTGGTCATTGAAACACCATCACTGGTCATTGAAACACCATCACTGGACGTTGAAACACCATCACTGGACATTGAAACACCATCACTGGACATTGAAACACCATCACTGGACATTGAAACACCATCACTGGACATTGAAACACCATCACTGGACACTGAAACACCCTAACTGGACATTGAAACACCATCACTGGACACTGAAACACCACAAACGAATATTTTCCAACAAACTTTTTTCTCCTTTGTAGTGTGTTGTTTTTGTAGAAATGAAACCCGTGCAAGAATCCCCTCCAAATAGCGAAAATTGAATCCGAAACGATTGTGTGTGGTTTTATTAGATTGATCCGCTCATTAAAGATGGGTTTAAATTGATGTGCAAATGAATGTGGACAGTAATAGGGAAGGGGAGGGAACAAACATTGATTCTAATGAGCAGGGGGAGGGGGTGTAAGTCAAATACAGCAGTTCAAATAGGTCGTGTCGATAGGTCATACAGTCAGATAGGTCATACAGTCAGATAGGTCATACAATCAGATAGGTCATACAGACAGATAGATCATACAGATAGGTCATACAGGTAGGTCATACAGACAGATAGGTCATACAGTCAGATAGGTCATACAGACAGATGGGTCATGCAAACATGTCTTAAAAGTAATTCAAATGTATCAATTTTAAAAAGTCAATTAAACTGGTCAATCATTTAGACAGGTCGTTTTTAGACTTGTGAATTTAAGCTATTCCTTTTTTTAGACGTGATTTATTTAGACTATCGTCCACACTGTTGAGAAAAAAAAAACCCCACCAAAACACCCACACAGTACTGGCTGGGATCTGCCACACGAAATGTCCCCACAGACAGCTGTCAGTTTCGTCATCCAATAATCACCTTCTTTAATGACCTCACACCTTAACACCAGACGACCTTTTTCCCACGACAAAACTTTACTTAGGTGACCTCAGACCTGGCACCAGCATCTTAAGAGTCCAGCGTCAGCCCACCTGTGTCGGTTACCTGCGTCACTCACCTGTGACCTGGGTCACTCACCTGTGACCTACGTCACTCATCTGTGACATGTCCCCAGATCCCCTACCTTTCACTAACCTGGTGTTACCTGGTGTTACCTTTGAAGACTTTAAAGAGCCGTTTATTTCGTCCATTAGATTTAATTCCTTTAACTATCACTGTGG